TAATATATAGTATATATATATTTTATTGTGATTACAAGAAAGTACTATTCGCGCTTACTACAATACTTACGTCGTACAGCCTTGCATTTTTCTAAGTGGCTCTTAGGCACATATACTAATAATTACAAAATTCATATACGAACAGCATTCTGAAAAAAGACGATCGCTAAGAACATCGATGACGATATCTATTGAACACTATGAATTCCGAACAAACCAATATATTTATACATATGTAAAGGATTTATCTGCACTATAGAATTTGCAATTAAATCAAGTTACAAATTTACGTTAAATATACGTATTTTTTTTTAAACTTTAATTTCTAGGATTGTCTCCTTTACCTATATGTATTTTGTATTAATTATTATCTAAACAGACATATTTTTTTTAATGATCAAATTTCCTACTGCGGCGATGCAAAACTTTGCTTCGTTTTGTGGAATTTTTATTCTTTTTCCATTTATTTCTTAATAAAATCATTATATAGTTTATATCTGACGAAGGAAATATTTAAGAAATAATTTACATTTATTGAAAAATATTTTTTTGTTTTCTATCTTTTCTTATCCTGTAGCATTTTTAAGTGAAACAAAGTGCTTTAGAAGCGATTAAATTCGAATAGATTCGTATTTTTATTTAAAAAGCATTACTTATACGAAAAGTTGGGTTCTTGTAAAATGAGTTAGTTTTCACATATAATGTAGCTTATATATAGTGTGATGAAAAAAAGATTATAGACACCAAGTTCAATAATGGATCATTTTTTTAGCTGTAGTGTATCGAAGAGTGCTTTTTGAACACAAGTTTTATATCTTTAATTCTTTAATACACCATAGTCCAAAAACTATTAAACCTTGTGTCTATGATATTTTTTGTTCACCATATTATATGTATAAACCTATTTTACATATAAAAACTAATTTATTTAACTAGGACTTAATTTTTATATAATTAATAGAGGGAGGTGCTTTGTACATATAGATGTATATAATTTCTTTTTCATATATAATAATTCAAAAAATCGTATATAAATAATTCATCAAAATTATTAGAAAATTTATGAAAGATATAAAGAAGGTATATAATACGTCTAGCAACATGAAATCTCTATATGTAAATATATAATATTTTTCTGTCGTGTAAACTCAAATTGAGAAATATACACCATTTTTGTTATTTTTTAAATTACATATATATATATATGTAAATAATAAAAATATATACACTTTTAAATGTGTGTGTGTATATAGAATATATATATACATATATTTTTTTTACATTATTAGATTGAGCGTTGATTGAAATTTAACGCAAGTCCTTAATCGCATTCTTTGAGCCATCTATGTTCATAAAAATTTTAATTTTCAAAAGTTAATTTTTTTCCCTTCGATTTTATAAATTAGTTTAGTAGAAATAGCAGCATGAGTCGTACCATTTATTCTTTATTATCTGACTGCTTCGATCGGTTATTCTTTCCATACGTATTGTAATACCCAATTGTAGAAAATCTTATTTCAATATAGCATCTTGTTCCGATGCTTTGATTCCATTGTAGTGAAACGGCGTTTCACTATTCGAAACAAATTGTTACTATAAGACTATTAATCCGATAATGCAATCTGAATGCTTATAAACATTCTTATGAAAATCTGTGCAAATGTATAAAATTATTAATGTGGAATTTTGTACAATCTTCGATGAGTTGCATACAACGATTTCACGAATCCTAGTTGAAGTTAAATTTAAGTGTGTTTGTGTGGGATCGATCTATGCATAATGATGAAAGATATTGATATTATAATAATACAACATGTCTATGGTATTGTTTCGAAGCATCGTGATTTATTTTCTTTTAATTTCTCTTTTCAACACAAAGTTACTTTTCCACTTGTAGTCAGCATGATCTACGTATTGTAAGAGTTTGCTATAGAAATACACTTGCTCTTGCTTGCTACTATTTTCCTTTTTATATGTAGTGCCTAAAAATAATAACAAATAATTAATAAATATCTTTATACTATAAATAAAAAAAATAATAAGTCACAATGGATTATCCTTGAAATTTAGACAAGGATTTATGTTTAATTACGATAATTTTTTATCGATGGTAAAAAATCTTATGAGTTAAATTATATATATTTTTTTCCGCAAACTTAAATACTTTGGAAATGCTATAATTCATCATGTTTAAAATTTGTATATAATTTTTCAACGTCTTTAAAAAATTTCCTGTAGCCCTTGATGGTTGTTTAAAAAAATTACATTTTTTATGTACTCTAACTTCCAATATTTCCACGATTAATTATCCTTTTTGAAAGAAACCGAGAAAAAATATAGAAATATTAGTCAAGAGAAATAGGAAATTTTTTGAAAATCATAATTTCAAAGTTTTTGTATGCGAGATATTCTTGTAGGCTTCTTTTTTCCTATACAAAATATACTGCTTAATAATTATTTATAATTAATTAACTGTTGGACATATAAGAATCTTAGGGAAAGGATTAAGTTCATAGAAGAGGAAAACCACGTTGTAAAGCTTGAGAAGAAGGACATTGCCATTTGTAATAGATGAAATCCATTAGATGAAGATATAGCGGACAAAGCGATATGATTTTCTATTGGCGTCAGTTATTCCTGAAAGACTATTATCCGCGAAGATAGAAGTCTTTGCTATTAATGAATAGTGAGAAGTACGTGTAATACTAGCCTAGGGAGGTAAGCGATTACACTTACAAATCATTTTGATTATATAAACATGGCCTTATCTAAAATTATTAACAATTTTGATTAAATTTTATATATGTTACTCTCGAACACACTATGCGAATTTTTTTATAGAACAAATATTAACTCAGGAACGTTGCATCGGGTTAAATTAGAATGCGATCGATATATATTACGCTCAGAATATATTTTCTAAGAATGTGTGCTATGTATACGTATATGTGCACATGTATACAACATTGTTTAAGAAATGTATAGTATATAACATGCAGAGAAATGGTATTATATCGGAATCGTGAATGTCACTGTTAATTATTATATTGTCACGATTACCATCGCTGTTTACACACGCAAATGACTGATTTGTGAAATGCAGAGGATCTATGATTAAGAGCATAATTGATAATCTCATCTAATGATATAGAAGATGTTTTCTGTGTATAGTTACATATTTTTTTCTTCCCGTATAAACTCAAATACGCTTTGTTGAATACAATATATTATTGTTGTTGTCTTTGAAATTTATAATAGATATATATGTATTATATGTATACATGTATATATGTATATACATTTACACATATATATATATGTATACATAAAAATTTGTTAAGCCTTGTGAGTTTATAAAGACTCGCATTCACACTTTAATTTAATCCTTGTCCTAAAGTTTTTGTATGCAGTATCTAAATTATTAAAAGAGGAAACTTTGAGGTATAATAGCAAAAAAGAGAGTATAACTTTTTATATAAAAACATTGGAAAAGAAACGTAAAATGGGAAAATAATGAATAATTTTATATTTTTATATAATGGATAAAGAACCATTATCCAAAGTTTATAATTAGTCATTAAAGTAAATTCCCTTTCTTCTCTTTTCTATGCAAACTTGCCTCATTATTACTACTTTTGTCATCTTTTTCCTCGTATGTGAACTATAATACATATATATCCATATATATATATATAATTATGTATATATGTATGTTAAATATTTTTCTAATATTCATGTTATTTTCAACTTCTAATAGCTATCGGAGCTTACACGGGACGAGATTACTTCTAGACATAGGCGGTTTCTTTTCACCGTGTTTACACAGCCAGAAATGTGTCAAATTTAGTAAAGATCATTAGTGTGTTTATATATGGTATATATACATGTATTTAGTATATTAAGTAAAAAATTCCGTTATGGAATGTGATATTTTATAACGCCGTGTTGAGGATTTTTCGAAAGAAATCTCTTGTATGGGATATTATTCTCAGGAAACTTTTCGCGTCTT